GAGTGGTTTTTGGGCAGAACTCAAAGAAGGAAAGTTGTTCATCTATGTGTCTACTAGATGTATATAAAATTTCGTGATTTTTAGATCTGTATGTAAGGATTTATGACTGATTTGGTACGGGTCATTGAATGGACCAGCTACTGGAAAAGTTTATTTAGTTCCGAAACTTGTGTGAATTATTTAAGGATTTTAGAATGATTTTTGGAGGAAACTTAAAGAATGAAAGTTGTTGATCTATATGTCTAATATCTCCCCTTAAAATTTCGTGAGTTTTAGATAAATATTTAAGGAGTTATGGCTGGTTTGGTATAGGTTGTTTAGGTGTGCCATTGCTTGGAAAATTTTTAACCTAAATTAAATGGGCTTGGATTAATGTTAATGGGCTTGGACTTGAATTAAAATGAGATGGGCTTGGATTTAAAAATAAAGAGGACTTAGATTAAAACAAATGGACTTGGGCTTGAATTAAAATAAATGGTCTTGGACTAATGTTAATGGGCTTGGACTTGAATTAAAATGAGATGGGCTTGGATTTAAAAATAAAGAGGACTTAGATTAAAACAAATGGACTTGGGCTTGAATTAAAATAAATGGTCTTGGACTAATGTTAATGGGCTTGGACTTGAATTAAAATGAGATGGGCTTGGATTAAAAAAATAAAGTGGACTTAGATTAAAACAAATGGACTTGGGCTTGAATTAAAATAAATGGTCTTGGACTAATGTTAATGGGCTTGGACTTGAATTAAAATGAGATGGGCTTGGATTTAAAAATAAAGTGGACTTAGATTAAAACAAATGGACTTGGGCTTGGATTAATGTTAATGGGCTTGGACTTAAATAAAATAAACTTGGTAATGGACTTGGACTAAAATCAAGAGGCTTGATTTTAAAGTAGATGGGCTTAGACTAACGAAAATGGGCTTAGGCTAAAATAAGTGGACTTAGATAGAAATAAAAAGGATTTTAAAATTCTAAAGAAAATTTATTCTTTCGAGAGAGGAATTACAAAAAAAAATTGGACCTTCTTTAATTATTAATGAAACTAATAAACAATATTAATGAGCGGAGGTTGTGTTCCGCTATGAGTACCATGATTGGTATGTGAGTGCCGAGTGAATTCGAGTGATGGTTGGATCGTGAGTATGGCTTGAGAATGAAGAGGTCGGTACCGAGTTTGGTTGAATGTGATTAAACATGTCATCACGTGCATCATGTGCATTGGGGGTGGAAATAAATTAAGAAAAATCATTGAGTCTTGAATTGACATGGTTTGGTAACCGAATTGAGTGGATTGGGTAATAGCAAGGAATCCATAGTGCGAGCTCTATTTACTAACACCGTTAAGCGAGGGATAATTCCGCTAGCTGTGTGCTACAACGAGGGATAATTTCATTACGAGCGGTAGGTGATATTGAGATCAACGAGAGAAAGTAATAGAGCGGTAGGTGATAACACGATCACTGAGAGATTGGGTGCACGGACTTGCATATACCTAGGGTACCGGATTAAAATGGATGAAAATATGAGAAACACAATAGCATTGCATATCACGTGCATCACCACTACTTGCGAGCTTTGGCTCATTACATTATTGTATTTGTGTGTTGTTCGGGCAAGGGCAAAGTTAAGATGATCGAGGATGCTATCGGTTCTCGTTAAAAGAGGCTCATGTGTCACTCATAAAAATAGAAATATCTTTTGTGTCATTAAAAAGGGGTACGGGCCTAGGTTGTAAATTTTTAGGCATTTTGAATATGTTATAAATTATAGAACTATACGTAATAATGTTGTATATTATATCATACGTTTCCCATGGTTTAGTTTACTGTTGTGTATGATGGAGGAAGTAGGGGACTTAGTCCCGATAGTGTGTCGCACCGGTCACGCTTGTTAGGTAATAGGTAAGGGAGCCGAGGCGTCACATTATGAAAGCTTAAATACACAAGCCCCGAGCAAGTAGCTTTAGGCCAAAATACCCTAACTATAAACCAACCTTAAATTCACTATAAACAAACCTCAAACAACGCATAATCATAAACAAATATATAATCAATTAACTCCTTAAACACAAACAAAATCACAACTCATAATCTCTAAACAAAAAACCTATAAACTCAAAACTAAAAGAGGTACATTATCGAACAAAATCAACTTAAAATTAGCTAAAACTTTACCACAACGTAGATAATATTCGAAGTATGTGTGTGTCAACAATTTTAGGTCAATCTAAGCCCTATAGCCTTTATTTTACTAAGTCAAAATTCTAGACATAATAGGTTCTAAAATTTACAATGATTTTGACACCCCCAAAACTTAATAATTTTTTTTTGTAGGAGCTAAATCAACCCCTTAATAACATACTCGTCAAAATTTCGGATCAAACAAAAATCTCTAGCTTTAGTTATTAGCTTTAAGACTGAAACCATCCGGTCTTGGAATTTAGGTTAACCCATAATTTATCAATCAAACAAAATAAAAGCAAGCCCTAATGTCTCATCCTTAAGAAGAATCATCCACCTAAGTTGATTTAGAGAGTACTTACAAGATATGTTGGCCAAGATTCCATTTGACGCAATTATTAATCTAAGTCCACATTAATCAATCACTCCAAGGATGTGTTTCACGAAGTTCTAGCTAATTCAAAGAAAGAAAATACGTAAAAATGCTACGGAGAAAACTTTCTAACCTTTCAATCAAATTTTATCAAAGTCTACTAAGAAAGAAGCATAAAGTTTGCTTAAATTCTCACACCTAAGACCTAAAAGAGTCGACTAGGGTTGAGTTTTCTCCCTTGACCAAATTGTCTCTTTTCCTAAATAGGTCTTTTTCTTTATTAAACTTGGACTTATGCCATCCATATTTAACTAGGACTTAATTAATTTGGTTGATTAAATATAGATCCACATATTACCTAGATTCATAAATAAATAAGGATACCTAAATAAATAAGGGTCTTTAACACCTAACAATCAATCACCCATCTAAACCACATTCGGCCATGTCCTAATTTAACTAGGAAACCCGAAAACTTATGAAGATTAATTAATTAACCCAAATCCATACAAATAAAATAACCCAAATAAATAATATCCAACTCAAATAAATAAAATAACAACAAAACAAATAAGATAGAGGATCGAATGTTTTGACCACTTTAGAGGTGGAAACTTTCGGCCGCTTGCATCGCCATGGTTTGGATCATTAGCTCTGTGATTGTCATCACTAAGGAGGACCTAGAAGAACTCAAGATTATGAAAAAAGACCTAGAAGAGGTCAAAGTTACATTAGTTTGAGTGTGAAGGATTCATGAGGTTACTTAAAAGTGGGATGGTTGAGTAGGTTTAGGTTGTGGCAGCGATGGCTAACTAGATAGTGGTTTTTGGGTTAAGTTTTCTTGATTAGTGCACATTTGATGATTGAGTAGCTTTAGGTTGTAACACCCATGGCTGACCAAACAATGGCTTTTAGGTTAAGTTTTCTTCGAGATCGGTGCACATTGGAAGTAATTTTTTGATATAGGGTTATGGAGAACATAATCTCTAAGGTTTAGAAGGTTTTTAGCATTTTAGTTTACAAGAAAATGTTGAAAAAAGTGGTAGAAGAAGTAGTCATCCGGGAAGGTTTTTAGCAAAAACAAAATCTTAGACATGGCTACATATGGAAAGGATGGCAAAATCATAAATAAATCAACAAATCATATTAATAATAAAAAAGAAAAAAAATGATACAATGAAATTAAAAAAAGGAAGTAAAAAATAAAAAAATATTTCTAGACTAATTTGGGAAATTAAAGCGAGCCAAAGAGTTTTTTTATTTGTTAGGAACTTATGGTGGTCTCGAGTTTTTAAATCTAAAAATAAAAAAAAAAGGTGAAAGTAGCAAGAATAAATATGGTCCAGTTTTCTTCTACATCCTAAGTTTAAAATGCTTTTAATTTACCAAGTCGTTCTTGATACATTGATCATGTTTGGACTTAATTGAAATCGATATCAAATTGATGAGACTCCTATTTTCGAGGTTCGATGTCAATTTGATATGATTTCACGATAAAAAATAAATAAAACTCTCTTTCATATTGACGACTCTATTAGTTTTGAAAATATGACCTAGGAAATATTTCGACAAACAATACTTTGAGAAGATAATGTTTAGGATTATAGTAAATTCAATAACCCTTTTTCTTGAAAGAGATTTTTATATGTGATTATTATCTTCCTAGTAGGCATAACCAACTCCTTACCTAAAATCTTTGAATTCAATATATTTTTAGGTTTTCTAGTCCCTTGTCAATACTAGATGACAATTCTAGAATCTTTAATTCTTTTTTTTAGTCATTGAAAGTTTCGTATGTTCTGATAACGATAAGAAGTTGTTTCTATAAATATTTTTACAAGCACAACAATTTAAAAAAACATTTTAGTGTAAAATATTTGGCAAAGCTAAAAAAATATCCTCCAACTATATGGGGAGTCTCAATTTTATAACCAAATAATTTTTATTATCAATTTTATCCTCAAACTTTAAGAAATTCTCAATCAAGATTTCCATCCATTTTTAAGGCTTGTAATGTATATTTTCATTCAAATTATTCCTTTTTTTTTAAATGACGTTATTTTATGGAGAAATTAACATTTTCTATTATGTGATTGTAATAGAATTTCTAAATGAGAAATTACAATGTTTTGGAAGTAAAATTAATACTACCTCAATAGTTTGGGGTTATATTTGATGTTTGTCCAAAAAGTTTTATATGCAAAACAAAGGAGTACTTAATTATGGAATCAATTTTTCCCGTAGCGATGCTGCGGCGAGACCGCAGCTGGCCAAAAATAAAACCGCCGTTTTAGTTAAAAAGAAAAGTGGGAAGACAAAACTCGAGGCAAAATAAGACTGACAACGTAATCGCAACTTGCAAGATCTCCTCTCGTATAGCTACGTTGCCCTAAATATAGACTCTATAAAAAGGGTGTGCAGCGCCCAACAAAGAATATCAATTATATGGGGAGCCACCAGAAGGGAGAGCATGGAGGCAGCAGCAATGGAAGCGGCGGAGGAGCTGTGGTGGTGGACAAGGGTGTGGATTTCGCACAATATTTCTGCACCTACGCTTTTCTTTATCACCAGAAAGAAATGCTCTCTGATAGAGTCCGTATGGACGCTTACTTCAATGCTATTTTTGAGAACAAGCACCACTTCAATGGAAAGGTACCTTCTTTATTTTGAAGCATATTTTGTACGCAAGTGCTTGAGCTAAATATAAGATATGACTTCGTTGATTAGAGTTTGTGGGTCTTAACATATTTGATAGTGGTGGAGTGGAATTTGGGTTCTTAAATGTTTAGAAGAAGAACAATAACTAAAACTATGTTTGAGTCAGTTATTGTAATTTACTTTCTTTTTCAGATTTTCTTAGACTAAGTGGACTTCAAGTCTAAATCGATAGAAAAAGTTCCATAATGTTTAACTCTCTTTCTCAAAGCACAATGTCGATTTAAATCTCTAAATAACATATAGTTTAAGTCAATATATATAATTTGAACCCAATTGTCATCATTTTAAATTCACTCTTGACATACGTTTTGGTGAACCTGTGGATGTAGACGGTGTTGGATGTGGGAACAGGGAGTGGCATTCTTGCAATATGGTCGGCACAAGCGGGTGCACGAAAGGTCTATGCAGTTGAGGCTACTAAGATGTCAGAACATGCCCGGACTATAGTTAAAGCACATAATCTTCAAGATGTAGTTGAAGTACTTGAGGGTTCTGTGGAGGATGTCACCCTGCCAGAGAAAGGTTTGCAAACCTTTTTTTTTTTTTTTTCCCCTTCTGTGCTTTTAGTTCCCGGTTTAACTACAAACTCTCTTTCACCATGGATGCGCAGATAAAAGTTAAGTTGTTTGTTGTGTTGAATTTGATATTGGATTTTGATGGATGTTGGCAGTTGATGTAATTATCTCAGAGTGGATGGGTTACTTCCTTCTTCGTGAATCTATGTTTGATTCAGTGATATGTGCGCGTGACCGCTGGCTGAAGCCTGGTGGAGTCATGTATGCAATTCAGTTTACCATTTTATATTGGTTGCTTGCATTAGATTTTCCTTTCATTTACTTTTCTCCTTCCAATTGCTACTAGTTTGGCTGCTCCTGTTATGCTTTCGCTCCTTGCAAATACTAATTTTATAATTGTTTTATGTGTATCTATTTTCATGCTGAGCCCCATTTTAGCCTCAAAATTATGACTGAGCATCTAATTGCTGTAATTTTGCAGGTATCCTAGTCATGCTCGCATGTGGATGGCACCAATCAGGTCAGGATTGGGAGATCAAAAGAAGAGTGATTATGATGGAGCGATGGATGATTGGTCTGCTTTTCTGGAAGACACTAAAGAACACTACGGTTTTGATATGAGTGTTTTAACCAAGCCTTTCTCTGAGGAGCAAAGGAAATATTATCTCCAGGTTAGTTCTGGATTTTAATCATCCATCGTGTTTATATTTTTTAGTTTAATTATGACAGCCTGCCTACTCTCTCTCTCTCTCTCTCTCTCTTTTTTTTTTTTTTAAATTTTATTTACTGTCAGTGCTGTTTCAGATCTTGGTTATGGATAAACTCATGTAGTTCTGATTGATGTGCTCATAAGTTGTACTCCTTAGCTAGCTAACCTATCCATATGATACAAATTCTTATCCATGGAGCTTAGTCCACATGACATCTCCTGGTGTAAAAACAAAACCTTTGGGGTACTGGGATTATGGTAAGAGATTAATAGACAAAATGTCCAGAAAAAACCCCTCTTCTGGATGGATACACACACACACACACACACACACACACACACACACATGATAAATTGCTAATTCAGTGAGACACTTCAGTGAGGCTCTACTGATTGTGTTACTGTTATTTCTGTCTACAGAATGTGGCTTTTCACCAAGATATATTCAGCTTCTTCTGTTGTTCATATACAATATTCGCCCTTGTAGGCCTACTTGGGCAGTGAGCATTTACTTATATAAGAACTGAATTCCTTGCATAAATGATTGCAACTGTGGAAAAAGGAATCTAATCAATTTTTAATTGTATCAAATCATTCATATGCATGTAGATATGGATAACGTATAGATTTTATAACATATGGAATTTTTTTTAATGATCCATTTCGTTCGTTTGATTTATTGCTTGAGCTGGAAGATGAAAAATTAATGTGTCCTGGATCTAAACAATGTGTGTAATGAAATTTATGATTAAAAATGGAGCTTGTGAGGATCATCTGTTGAACACTGAATCATCAGAGTTACATCTTATTATGAATGCCCAAATTAATATTTATTCTAACGTGTATCATCTGAGCTTTGTCAATTTTATAAGAAATAGAGAAGGGTATCTATCTGTTGGTCTCCATGTTGTACAGAACGTAACCATTTTCCTTCACCATGATCTGCCTTTTTAATGAACATGCTATGAAATTTCTGCAGACATCATTGTGGCAAAACCTTCATCCACATCAAGTCATAGGGACAGCTGCCATTATAAAGGAGATTGATTGTTTAACTGCCACAGTGAATGACATTCTTAAAGTAACATCAAACTCTATTTCGTCAATCACTTTAGAAAACACAAGGCTCTCTGGATTTGGTGGATGGTTTGATGTTCATTTTCGAGTAAGTGGAGCATCATTATCCCTTTTTAATCTTGCATTCCAGTTCTCGATTATAATATTCTTGTCTCAATCTTGTATATAAATCTTTTCTGTGATGTTGGATCGCCAGGGAAGCAAGGTTAATCCGGCACAGCAGGAAATTGAGTTGACAACTGCTCCAAGTATAAATAATGGCACACATTGGGGTCAGCAGGTCTGTATCATGAAAAACATCATAATATTGTGCAATCTAGTAGAACATATGGTATTTCAGGAAAGTTTTGTAGTCAATCGACATGGAACCATAATTGGAAAATTTTCTTGCAGCAATTATGTTAAATCAAAGACCAATGAATATGTTGCATACAACAAAGTTACTAAATTTTACAGCAAGAGGTCATTGATTTATTGTTGTGGAATTGTTTGTAGCATGTTTATGGTGAGTGTCCTCTGTCAGTCAGACAGCATCACAAGTTTGTTTGTTTGTTTGTTTGTTTTTTTTTTTTTTGGTTTTTTTTAAAAAAATTATTTTTATGTGTTCCATAGTGGTTAATGTGGTGCATTAGAATTGTATGGGGGAAAAAACAAATGTTGGAAGTTATCAGCTCCTAACTAATTTGAGGGATATTGTTCATCATGGAACTTTTTTGATGAGTGTGCGAGAATTGGATGTTGACCTAATCATTTTATTCACGAATACATATATGCCATTATGATATTCTATTGTCAATCTTTTCAGCGTTCTAGTAGCTGGTTACTTCTTCAGTTGCATTATCATTCTAATTTTATGTTTGTGCTTATGGTCAGGTTTTCCTCTTGCATCCTCATATAGACATCAGTGAAGGGGATGATTTGAGTCTATCCTTCACCATGAATCGTTCAAAGGAAAATCACAGATTAATGGAGGTTGAGCTTGAATGTGAGGTTAAACGGTCCTCTGGCAAACAGCTTCCACCTTTCAGAAATAAGTTCTACATAGAGTGAGGAAGGAAATAGCAGCCATCATGGAAGTTTTAACATCATGAAAACAGTACATCTTATAGCTTCCAAATTGCCTTAACTAATTCTACCAGGGCCCCAAAGGCGCATGTTGGTCTGATTTGCTTAAATGTGGTTTTGTGTGCTCTTATTGCCACTTAATTTTGATCCTATGCAAGAATTATTATTTTTTGTATTTATTTATTTATTTTGTTTTCATGCATGCAATTATAACTTGAGAGGATGAGTTGTCAGTGAAATGCAACTTGAATCTGTAGTTGGGTGTTTTCATACTCTTTCGTCTTTTTAATTCACAAAGAAGTTGCTTAACATTCCAAAAATATCTCAAAAATAACAGTAGATAGAATATTTGGTTATTGGCTACAAACCATTCTGCGATATGAAGTTGGAAGTTTAATTTGATTGTTCAGAATTGGTAATCATCCTAAAGGTTCATTGGGTAATATGCCATTAGCTTTTGACAATCATGTGGACGTGACTATGGGTGTGGGTGTATCGCTATAGAAAGTTTCTAATGTCTGCTATTAAAAGTGCGTTAGATGAATAATCAAAATACTAATGCAAACATAATATATGGTACCTTTTGAAAGCTCAAAAGTTGACTGTTCTAGTAGGTTTTTAAAAACGCTTCCCGAGACATTTTGGTTACCAAACAGGTTTTCCATATATTTTCAGTGTCACGGAGACAACTTGAATACTGCAATCTACATATGGTGGGTTATTTTTATTTTTATTTTCCTTTTTCTTCGAGCCGTGCTGCTCTATTTGTGTGTCGAAAATAACTTGCTTTCGAGCTTCGTAGGCCATAGTTGATGTTTTTTCAGTCTCCATAAATTTTAGTCTGAACTTGTTTTTCTTTGTTTGGATGGAAAAAAAAAAAGTTCATACATTCCCTCCAAGTTCGTACATCAATACATTTTAAATTAGGTGAAAACTAGTTAGATATTTGCGTTATGTTACGGTCAAACAATCATTAGATATGTAGAATTAATTATTACATATGTAGAATTAACGATTCGTATAGTGTAGCGTGAGTAAAAGTTTTATTTTTGATGATTAATGTAAATCAAATATATATATTGAGTAAAATTGTTTGATTTATATATATTTAATAATATTAGTATAAAAATTTGTATTTGAATAGTTGGAAGGTTCTTTAAAATATTATCTAACTTATTTTATTTAAAAAAAAAGTTTAGAATATAAAAAAATAAATAACAAATAATTGGGATTACATGTGCGGATATGTAGTTAATTTCTAACAAAACTAATAATGCATGCGTGCACACACACACACACACACATATATTGAAGAAAATAATATTTGAGAAAATAATTTTAGTATGTTTCAATTACACAACTACGGACATATATATATATATAGAGTCCTAAGATAGGAAAGAATTCCTAAAAAATAGGAAGATAGAATAGGATTCCTACGGAATAGGAAAGAATATACAAAATATTTCCTATCTAATTATATTCCGATATTTCCTACACTCCCCCTAAAGTTGGTGAATATAGGTTTTCCATTCCCGGCTTGCATATATTTTCTTGAAATGCATGATTGTTTAATCCTTTTGTTAGAACATCCACCAGTCGAAGATCCGTAGGAACATATGAAGTACAAATTAATCCATTGTCGAGCTTTTCCTTAATAAAATGTCTGTCCACCTTTACGTGTTTAGTTCGATCATGCTTGCATCTGGATTGTGAGCTATGCGATGGCAGATTTACTATCACGATAGAGCTTCATTGGACCACACCATTCAACCTTCATATCTTCCAAGATGATTTTCACCCATGATAGTTCACATATACTTGCTGTCATCGCTCTAAATTCAGCCTACGCACTTGATCTTGCAACCACATCCTGTTTTTACTCCTCCAAGATATCAAGTTTCCTCCGACAAAAGTACGGTATCCCATAGTCGATCTTTTGTCAATTGGAGAACTTGCAAAGTCGGCATACTGTGTAAGCTGCTATATCAATATTATGTTTTTTCTTAAACGGAATTCCTTTGCACAGGTGAGCTTTCAAATAAAGAAGAACTTTGTAAACAACTTGTAGATGAACTTCTCTTGGATCATGCATAAACTGACTAATAACACTCACGGAATAAGCTATGTTCGGTCTAGTATGAGCAAGATAGATGAGTTTTCCTACGAGACGTTGATACATTTCCTTCTCCACCTTCTTATCACCTAAAGCTTCTCCTAATCGATGATTTTGTTCGATTGGAGTTGCTGCAAGTTTGCTTGCTTGTCATCTTGGTTTCCATGAGTAAATCGGTAACATATTTTCTGTTGTGAGATGAATATTCCTTGCTTAGATCGAGCCACCTCTATGCCAAGAAAATATTTCAATCTCCCAAGGTCTTTAATTTCAAACTCTTGGTTCAAACATTGCTTCAACACTTCTTTCTCTGTTTCATCGTTCTTGGTTATAATGATATCATCAATGTAGACAATCGAATTGTGACTCCCACGAAGCGAGTGTGTTTGATAAATAAAGTGTGGTCTTCTTGGCTTTGTTTGTATCCATTCGCAAGTATCACATGAGTAAACCGACCAAACCAAGCACGGGGCGATTGTTTGAGACCATACAACGCCTTCTTGAGTTTACAAACTTGATTCCCATCATCGTTATTGAAACCGAGTGGAATGCTCGTGTAAATATCTTCCTCCAAGTTACCATGTAAAAATGCATTCTTCACATCATATTGCTGTAACTCCCGATCAAAGTGGACCGCCGATGACAACAAAGTTTGCATTGTATTCATCTTTGCTACTTGGAGCAAATGTCTCTTGATAATCGACCCCATATGTTTGAGTATAACCCTTGGTAACCGGTCCGGCCTTGTATCGTTCTAAAGACCCATCGCTTTAAGTTTCATCGCAAACACCCACTTACGAGTTGATTGTTTTCTTCCTCGAGGCAGTGGCACCAATTCCCAAGTACCATTCTTTTCCAGGTGCTTCCATCTCTGCAGTCATTACAAGTCTCCATTCTTTTTTAGATAAAGCTTCGAGACAAAGAGTTAGGAATAGCAATTGAATTTAATGTGGATAGATAACTACGGTGATTTTGAGAAAAATTATTGAAAGACACAAAATTGGCCGATGGGTATAAAGGTGTTTTTGTATAGTTGTGGGTTCCTTTCCTTAAGGCTATAGGTTTGTCAAGATCAATCTTAGGTTGTGTAGAATCGGATGAGGGAGAAAAAATGTTAGAAATTGTTACCTCGGGTTCGAACTCGGTACAAGTGATTGATCTTACTACGGAAGCGGGAATGACGTCTTTTTTCCTTGTATACACCTTATTAAATCGAAACCGATAAATCAATCTACCACTATCCTCTGTTTCTTCTACGGGTAAGAGAATGGTGGATTGGTAAACATGATCATCAAAGGGCTGTTCATGAGGAGTTACATCTCTTGATGAAGAAATATCAAGAGACAGATCAATATCGGAATCGACAATTGTAGGAAGCTCCCCGGAATGTAAGGTGTAGAAAAATATGATTTATTTTCAACAAAAGTGACATCGAGTCGAGACATAGAGCTTCCGAGTAGGTGGATGATAACACTTGTATCCTTTTTGAGTGACCGAATAACCCAAAAAAATACATTTAAGGGCTCTAGGATCTAACTTTCCCTGAGTGGTATTATGGACATGAACAAAGGATGTACACCCAAAAATACGAGGGGTAAGGCTAAAGGAAGACCGAACATCGGGGAAGAATCGAGATAAAATTTCCAAGGGACTTTTGAAATCTAAGATTTTAGAGGGCATCCTATTTATGACATAGGTCGACGTTAAAACTGCCTCCTCCCAAAAAGTTTTAGGAACATTTTGTTGAAACAAAAAATGCCCTAGTACATTCAAGAAGATAATGGTTTTTACGTTTAGCGACTCCGTTTTGTTGTTGAGTGATGACACGGGATGACTCGTGAATAATACTCTCTTTTTGAAAATAGGAAGACAAAGTCCGATTAAAATAGTCATGAGCATTATTTGACCGAATATGTTTGATCGGTACCCCAAATTGATTTTTTATCATAGAGATAAAGGTGGGAACAATATGATTGACATTAAACTTTTGTTTAAGAAGATAAACCCAAGAAGTTCTAGTGCAATCATTAATAAAAGTAACAAACCATTTTGATCCAGTAATGTTTTGGATGGACGAAGGGCCCCAAATGTCACTATGAATTAAAGAAAAAGGAAAACTTGATTTTTTATTGCTTATTGAAAACGGTACACGTGTGTTTGGCAAACTCACAAATGTCACACTCGAAAAGCTTTAACATCGACTCCCTTAAACAAGTCTCGGGAACATTATTTTTAAGGTAAAAAACAACAAATGACCTAGACGCCTATGATGCAACCAAATGGTATCTTTATTTGATTGTGAAAAATATGAGACTATAGAAGATAAATTAATCGGGCTCTGTTGACTTGGTGTAGTGAAGTAGTAAAGGCCATTGTGCTATTTAGCAAGTCCAATCTTCTTCCCCGACTCCCGATCTAGAAATTCACAACAACCAACAAAAAAGGTAATTTGACAATTCAAGTCTTGGATAAGTTTATGAACGAAGAGAAGATTGGTGGATAATCGAGGAACATGAAGAACATTTTTCAGCATAATATTTTGACCAATTTGGATATCTCCAATACGACTACGTGATTATTATACCATCGACTACGGTTATTTTTCGACTATCGAGATAAGGTGTATAGGTTTTGAAAAAGCTGGATGTGTGGGTCATATGGTTCGTAGCACTCGAGTCTAAAATCCATACATTTGGAAACTCATTATCCAAAACATTTAATCCAAAGGAGATGGGAGTTTTACCTAAGAGCGTTAATGAAGACGAACCTTGAGATTGGTTAGGAGATGTAACGAGGTTTTTCCACGGATCCTAGTAAGCTCTCGAGTTTTTTCGGATCTTCCATACCGAATCCTCCTAATCCCTTCGGT